TCAGCAGGACTGCTCAGCCAAAGCAAAATGGTACTTCAGCTAAACTGATTCTGGGATTTGTGCTTGCTCGTTCATAGCATGGCACTGCATCATGCCATGCAGATGAGTCTATCAACATGTCTGTGTTTCCAGCTGTGTCAGCGAAGAATCAAGGTGACTTTAAACTCATTTCTTTTAGTAGGAGCTGGCTTGACTACTGTAGCAACATTACACCAAAAGTGGTTAACTATAAACAGTTCAAGAAACAACTCTTTATCTTTGAACAAATGCAAAGTTTCACTAATCCACAGAATTACTCTACTGGACAGCGATAAAATAAGCATAGTGCACGTTTGGGAAGGAAGTGTTACACCGACCTTCTTAAACACTATGGTTTCTTCTTCCCAGACAGGATTAACTGCATTGCCTTGAGAGGTCTTGGTCTTCAAAGCTTTTCTTCTTGTATCCACAGGCAGGCCAAACATGTCAACTTCTACATAAGTACCGACTTTTTTATCAGAAAGAAACTGACCTGAAATTATCTAAAACCAAAACAAAGGAGGATCACTAGAGACAGCTTTGGTAGATTAGGAAATGAGTGGCTGAAATGCAGATGGATAATTCGCATTAATGATCAGATAGTATGCATTTAAAATAAAACAAAAACCAAAACAAAACCACAATAAACAAAAACCCACTGTTTAATATTGCAGACACAGAAAAACAACTTATCAGGCCTGATTTCCTGTGACCCTGTGGTCCTGAATTCCCCTATGAGTGATAATGTGGTTGAGATCATGCTGCTGCCCTTCCAGCAGCAGGCATACTCATTTGGATCTCTTTCCTCAGTCTGGCTGCCTATTTCCACAACACAGTATCTTTGAGAACTCTCATTTCTACCCAGCTTCAACAACAGGTTCAAAAAATGCTGGAAGAAAAAAGCTGCGAGAAGAAAACAAGCTAAAAAGTTGGTATTCTGATAAAGGCTCTTCACACAGAGTGAGGAGTTTCACTAGGAAAACAAGACAACTATAATATAACCGGTCTTTTCTAGTTCTTATTTTTAACAGGAAACACAACTCAGCTTTAAAAAGTTAAGGAAATGTCTGCAATTACTTCAGAAGATTGAAAAGACACAGGAATAAGTAGCAGTGTCACTATACCTTAGTAAATTCAGGCTTGCCTAAAGCAAATCTTAATCCGTTCTCAGCTGTATCTTGTATGGGCAATGACATTACATCCAGTAGGGTTTTCACCAAGCAGGCAGAAGTTGCTGACTTCTGACAGCTGTCTCCTGCCTCCTGGATGCTCATTCCTGTTAAAAATGCTGTGCACCTCCTAATATCTATTGAATGACTTCCACCTCCATTTACTAAAATTGCAGAAGAAATTGCCTCTAAACCCACAAGAGGAACTGAAAGCTTCCATGATTACAGGTCACCACAAAAGGTCGTTCCCACACAGTCATTTTTTACCATGCATGTCATCAGATTATTACTTTACTCGTACCCCTCCCAGCACTGCTCTGCTATGCTTGTGTCTGGAGCCTGAGAGGAAATACTTGTTTTCTCTCAGTGAAAACAGGAGGATATTTTGCAGGTGGATTCTATAATAGGGACACTGTTCTAATGGACAAGTCCAGTAAAGGGAAAAACAGGATTTCAGGAAGTTTATGTTTTTATAACTAGAGATATACCAAGTATAAATTTGTGATCCTGTCATAGCTAGTGCAATCTATCCTTCTAAACATTCATACAAGTAGTTTTCAATTTGCAGATTCCTGAAGGTCCTTGAACTTCATTAGAGGTCCTTAAAAAGGAACGAAGAAAAGCAAGCTGGCAATGAATTTCAGCTAACATTTATGGTTCCATAGTCCTGCCAGAACTTATAGGGAACCAGAAAATTTATTTATACTAAACAGTGTACTGTTCTAGCTATTCCAGTGCAACCTACCACTCCATAACAGCATGTTTTAAATTCATCTCTTTGTTACTAAAAACACAGCCAAACTACTCTTAAGTCCATTCACTTCCCAATTACTTCTACGGAAAAGAATACATACAATAAAAATACATTTATTTATACTACAATATGAAATGTGAGGCAGAAGATCCTCTGCAATTTAAAAATTAAATGTCACTCCATGAAATGAAATGCATTTTATTTTCTTGACTTAGTATGGTCATTTGCTAGGCCACTGCACAACAGAAATATATCTATGCTCTTAACGCTGTCACAAGAGCAGTTTTACCAGCTGCGTACATACCTTCACAGACAAGGTGTTAGCTACAATTCCATCCACTATACTTTCAGTAAATGGATCAAAGTGTTTGTCTGGTCTTCTCATGAACTCTGGCTTTAACCTGTATCCGCTTTTGCCATTGTACTCGTACATTCCCATGTTTATTTGCATAGACAAATCTAGGCATTAGAAATATGGGTAAGAATTACATTCTAGATAGATAACAATTTTAAAAAGCAATAAAATAATACTATTTATTGTAATTTCAAACTGACTGTAATGTAAACAACTATTTATGGCACATTGTTGCTTTAGAAGTTTCAGATGTGATTGCAGCCACCCTCTTGGATTCTTTTGACAAGACCAAGACATCTGTAAGACATCTTTCAGAGATTACTCAATAGATAACATTTTCGAATTTTAAAAGAAGCCTTGACATGTTTTGAGTCCCTCAGTGTTGGACTGATTGTACTGTTGTACCTGACCCATCAGAGTGCTTATGTTTCTAACCCCTTCCTAGCATCAGACACTGGGTGCCCGGTACTTGGCTGAAAGTGGCCCAAGGAGGTTTTTATTACTCTGTGGACTCCCAGCCTGTGTGGGGTTTTGCTTTCCATGGAAAGGCAATGTGTATATGGGCACAACTGGAAAGGAAAAAGGAAATGATACCATGGCATCATGTGCCCAGAGGCAGGACATGGCCAGGATATGTCCTGGGATCCAGTAGCTGGAAATATTTGTATGTCTCAGAACCGACATAGCCTTGGAAGACAACACATCTTATTTCAAAAGTGACTTGTGCATCTAGGAAGCCAAAAGTCTGTTTTTTAAACACTCACTTTTCAAGTGGAATTTGCTAAGTCCCTTATGTCTTGATATACTGAGATTTTGGAAGACACAGGAAAAAAATCCCTGCCAGATCTCAAATGCTGCTCAGTGGTAACCACTTATAAATGATGACTATCTGGAGGACATTACGCATGTGTATTATATTAGCTGTGGCATGGTAATTATGAATATTTCCAGTTTAAAAAAACAAAACCACTGAAACTGTGTTACAAATGTTAATTAACAGCTCTGTGGTATCATTCAAGCGCTAGACATCTTTTGATGCATAAAGCCTTTCCTACCTACAAATCAGAAACTGTATCAGAGAAGTGGAAAACTTACAAAATCCAGAGACCAGCATAACTTACCTACAGTCTGGAAGTTAAGAGCAACCATTTGGCAGCCGGCATTCCAGAAAACTTGTGGCATGTAGTTCGAAGAATCTACACGTGTTCCCTTTGGGTAAATTCGACTTAGCTGCATTTTGTTGTATCTAAATGGTGAGTAGTTAAGATATAGTACGTGTGACACAAATCACTTTGCAGAGAGGTGCAACTGCAACATTTAAATGCAGGTAATCTTTACAGAACAGCAGTGGGTTTCCTAATGGATTTCTGCAACTATAACACTTTCAGACATCCATAATTTTGTCGGAGACATGATAAATACAGGGTAATTAAAGATGCTGTTTGTTTCTGTAGAGAGTACTCGGAATAAGCAAGGAAATAGCACAGGCATATGCATTAAAAAGATAGCATTCATAAAATTCCATTTATCATTATGGTTACTAATTTGGGATTTTCCTAAGATTGCATTTATAGAGGCCAAATAGCTGTAAACAGCGAATCTTCCTCTGGTGGGGAGAGAGGTGCTCAGTTAGAAAGTAAGTGCTGTTCTGGAATGTGCATTAGAATTGGCCTCTACATACAGACAGAAATGATGAACGTGCACTTCTTATAGTTGACTCTACGAATCTCAGAGATGAGAACATGCTGCAGGTTATCTGTGGAAATAGCTTTCCATTAATCTTCTTTAAGGCACTATTTTATCTTGACCGTTCATTCTTTACTGCAGCCACAATGAGAGACATTGAGAAACATCAAAGGGTCTAACCAGCATGCTCCTTAGCTTTTCTTTAAAAGTTATTAAAAAAACCCTAAAAAAAAGGAGGAAAAAAAAAGGAGAAAAAAAGAAGAAAAAAGAAGAAAAAAGAAGAAAAAAGAAAAAAAAAGAAAAAAAAAGAAAAAAAAGAAAAAAAAAGAAAAAAAAAGAAAAAAAAAGAAAAAAAAGAAAAAAAAGAAAAAAAAGAATTGCGTGGCAATAAAACAGCTCAGTGCTCTTAGAACTAGAGGTATGTTGGGAAAGCAACCTTTCTCATATGACTGCAAAAAATCAAGTCAGCCACATTTTGACAATTCGCTCACCGTAACTCATACCACCTCATATAGGATGATAAATTTAACAATAAGAATACAAAGTATCAGGTCTTCAATATGTAGTTTATGCCTATTCCCTCCAGTCCTAGCCCACAGCACAAGGACTCATGCCAGCTTTAAAATTAGCTCATCAGAACTCAAGCCAATTAATTCATCTAGCAAGACAGTCAAATCTACAAATTTCATTTGGGTTTCCTATTTCCCCAGCTCCTGTCTGCAAATTTCAATAAAGCCCTATAACAGATCTCAGACACAGAAAGGCTAAGAAAACAGCTTTCTGAAAGTCAAGGATACTCCACGAATTCCACAGGAGACTTTGTGAGTTGCTCGAGCCCTTTGGTTTCCACAAAGGAAGACATTTCAAAACTTTTGTTGCGTTCTGGAAGTTTAAAGGGGAGAGAAAAACACAGACACATTAGAGAATGAAATCATATGTGATATATGAGCTGCAAACAACTGCTTTAGACTCAGTTGCCTTATCCCATCTACTGTTCACCAGCTCATTTCAGCTTAATCTCAAAGAATTTACATACACAATCATTTGCTTACAGCAGCAAGCTCACTCTGAACGTACTGAAGAGCTCCATCTGAACTCACATTAGCACTGTCTAAATGAAGAGTGTTACTACTGCCTGAGATTGCTACTGTACCAACTGCAGGCAACAGTCAGTGCACAGGTAGAAGTCTCTCATGTTTGCTTGCAAAATACCATGTTGATATATTTGACAGGTAGAGCCCAGAGTTTACAGGTGAGACGCAGAAGCAATATGGCAGCTTTTGTAGGGAATGCAGAAGGCCCTGCTGGATTTCTGTGTTGTCTTCACAAGCAGATGCAAGGGCTTTGAGCCAATCTGAAGCTGTAATAACTAATGTCTGTATCAGATTAAACTAAGCCGTGCGCTAGCTGTGCCTACAGCGGTTCTCGTTATCTTCAGTATGTCAGGGTAAGGTCACATCTGTCTCAAACAGTCATGGAAACATTGCTATCTAATCAAGCCTGAAGGTACACTCCTGTGCCCCAGCAGGTCTTCAGACCTAACCCTGAACTAATATGGAGCTCCTATGACCCCTTTAATTCGGTCAAACCTTCTGACCTGACAGTGGTGAAAAGCTTCTCCTAAGCTTATAATTCAATAGGACTAAACATTAATTTGCATATCATTTATTACTCACCTTTGCCTGATGTGTACACAGCTTTTCAACATACCCATGTGACATGCTGTAGCAGAGAGCCTAAGTCAAGACTCAATACTCTAGCTTCAGTATTTTTTTCCTTTACACTTTTGTACAGAAGGAAAGGATTCCTGTAAAATAACAGCTTCTCATTTCATCACAATCAGCTGTGTAGATTGCCTAGAAGGGGCCACAGTGTTGGGAGGTCATATCCATTAGATATCTCAGCATTACTGTCTTTAAACATGAGCTAAACAGTGCCTGTGTTGAAATACGAACTCCCTATCCTCACCACTTTATTGAAAGCAAACAATAAGGCAGAGAAGAGGCTTGCCCTCATCCGGTTTTAGAAGTAGTTGTGCTGCACTAATCCAGGGATGGCCAGGAGGCCAGCCTGGCCAGCTCCTTGAAGTCAAACTGTGAAGCCGCAGGAGGGGGATAAAACTGAACAAAAGCAGTTGTCTTGCAGAGAGAAGCAGGACAGAAACAGGTGGGCGCTTTCCTTATAGGAAGCCAAAAAGGAAGCAGTGGATCCAAAGGAGTGAGGAGCTAGACTGTTCGGGCCAATGTGAGAGGAAAATGTGCTGCCAGCCTGTGAACTACAAACTATTCTCAGTGTATGTACAGGATGACTGTAGTGTTCCAAAAGTGATTCTTTCCCTCTAGGAGAGCTGGGACTCAGACTTTATTGTGGTCCCTATTTCTAATTAGCAACCATCATGCTACTGCCACGATTCATAGCTGTTATCTCCCAATGACAAAAGATTCCTGCCATTCCCTAGAGGCTGCTCTCCTACCACTCCTCTTCCTTCCCAACAAGCAATATCCTCTCTTTCTCCAGCCTCTGTTCCAGCCAGCTTACCTCCAGCTCAGCTTCTTATGGCACTGAAATTATTCCATCCTTCCCCCTTACTAATGGGATAGCACTAGCAACACACATATATAGTGGTTTTATTCCACTTAGAATATAGGTGCTAGAGTATTTTGTAGTAGGATACTGTATCTCTCAGCATTATCTTAAAGTAGAGCAACTGTAGGAAACCAGAACTGGTAGCTGTTAAATGACTCGGTTACTAAATGTCCAGGGCTTAATTAAACTCCTAATTAAAATAAGAACAATTATTTCCTTGTAGTATCTGGAGACAATTAAGAATCCTGCCCTTTGAAGAAAACACTGTTCAGGAGAGACGTTTCTCTCTCGTGATACATTACACCATGTTATCTTGTTGGGAGGAAGTCACTAAGGAGTGGACAAACAACTTGTTGAAAAACTGTCTGAAAAACTTGAAAAAATACAGTTACAGCTACTTGCTGTCAGAGAGAGGAAACATATCTAGTGAGGGCAATCAGGGGACTCTTACAGATCCAGTGCTATTCAAAACTTCTGTTAACAAGTTGGATGCAAGACCAGAAAATGCACTTCTAAAATGTGTGAATGACAGAAGCAGTGAGGTACTGCTATCACCATGGAGGCCAAGATCACAAATCAAAACAAATTCTGATTTAGGAAATATTAAATTAGAAAAACACTGCAACACTGAAATGATGAAACTGTATAAAAGACAAGTATGGAGCTCTACACTTAGGGAAATGAAATCAGGTGAACAAAAATAAAATCTGGGCAACAACTGGACAGGCACCAAATTAAAAAACAATCCTCATCTAACTCCTCCTTTATTCAGCTCATCTCCACTGAATTTAGTAAGGTCCAGCAGCGAGTCCAGGCCAGGACTTAGACCAGAACCCACAAGTCAAGCTACAGTGCCCCCTGCTTTAACCAGCCAGCAACATTTACCACGTAAGGCCAGTGCTTTAACGAACTGGCCACATTTACCACATAATGATTTTTTTGACACAAACACCAGAAATATTAATTCTTTAACATTACGAGTTCACAGGAACAGTATGTTTGATCAAAGGTCACATCAAGACTTAGGATAAACAATCTGGACATCAGCAGCTTTTTACAAAAGACAAAACTCAGAAAGGCACAGGCATGTGAACAGAAGAAATCTACACAATTTTGTAACAGCTGCATCAACTTGTCCTGATAGGATTCACATGGCTTCCTTTCCAGAAGGAGTATCTCCTTCCTGCTGTGTTCTTGTAATTCTCATTAGAACTAGAGAAGATTATGGATATGTCCAAAGGGACACTACCACAGGGAACAAGCATAGCTCTGCACGATTTTGTGAATGCTTGTTTGTATGTCTGTATAAATACCCACATGCAAATGAACAGGTAGATAACATCTTATATGTTTATTATTCACGATAAGTAAATGCAAAATCTTGTATACAGATATGGACTTAGGCACCAATTACTTGTCCTCTGCGAAGGCCTTCACAAACCCATAATAAATTAAAATGATATATACTTCTTTAACTAAAAAGCTCTAAGAGCATATTGCATCCTGTCAAAACAAAGTGAAAAAGGGCAGGCAAACAGTAGGGAGTTCTGCACCAAGAAAGGAAAAGATGCTGCAGTGTTTATTGAGGATGCCACTGAGTGCATTCCTAGCAAGGCATCTTCTGTAAAAGCCAGCGGGGGATGAAATTACAGCCTTTTCTACACAATACACAGAGGCAGGTACAAGTGAATTTGCATATGGGGAAGGGCAGGCTCTGCTTACTCTGAATCCTCTATAAAAGTAGCAGAGGCAAACTATAAAGCACTTGCTCAATCCCAAGGAATATTTATGATCACTTTTCTCAAACTGCCTGAGTTACTCTTCAGTCACGGACAACAAAAACAATGTAAGTACAACATTTTCAAAAATGTTTTTGAAATGACAGCATGTTTACTGTTGATGAATGCAGACTAAGACAGGTTTCAAAACAAATATGGATTTATTTGGCTGGATACCAAGGGAACATTTTCTGTCTGTGTGCTTGCATCTAACTGAGAGGAATCCAAGTAGCATTTCTCCAGAACTTTCTTCCAAACACTTGCTAGGTAATTTCTAGTAGAAGATGTTGCTCATGCTTAGCTTACTTACTTTTTGATACTTCAAATGACTCAAACTTCACAGGCTGAATGTAGTTCACCAAATTAGACATCTCTTCTGTGGCCATAGCCTCGCTTCCAGCAGTACCCTAGGACAGAGAAGGGAAAAAGCTGCAGTTTCGGTCTGTCCATGGTGGCCATCAGAGGCCACAAATACCAAAGCCCAGTTTTCTATCAACAGTGATATCTTTCACTAATATCTTTTCACCAGCTTAGTGAAGTCAGTGCCTCACACAGGGAGCATCACGTAGTAAAGAAGAAAATTTGCTATAAAATTTAAATGTTTAATTGAAGTGCTGCTGTATTCATGCTTTTTACATGGCTCCTAGGGATGGGACTGCATTACCTTTACACATGCATAGTGCTGAGCACATTTATCAGTACTGTTGTATAAATAATAAATACAGCTCTAAGTTTTAAACATCAAGTTTTTCTTCCAACAACGCTAAATACACCACAAGCAGTTGTCTAAAAAATATCAGCTGTGGTGCTATTAATTCTTATTCTTCCGTAAATGACAATATAAATAAACAAAGCAAAGATGTGCTTCCAAACCGATTAACAACTGTGGTTTCACAGTGCTCTTCCTCCCTTTCTCCACTAGATGGTAGTCCCACTCCTAGTAAGACAAGCCAACCCACAACTGCTGGATCCGACCCATCGCCATAAAACATTATCTACATCCTTACTTCATCCATCGACGACTTTTTACAGTCATCATCATAGTCATCATCATCATCGCTCTCAATCTCTGCTTCTCCTGAAAAATTTTAAACAGAAAATAATTACTGTCTGAAGTAAATTCGAGAAAGTTGTGCAAGGAGACTACCATTCTACATGTGCTTTTTGTCACAGCACAAATCAAATACACTTTTCTTGAGAGATTAATCCACCCTCAGCATTGATAAGTTCTTATTGGTCAAACAAACAAAAGCTCTTTCTTTGCAGCTACTGGATGGCTGGTGTTTGAAAACCATGGGGTAGGTATCAGCACTGAGAAAAGACCGTCGTGGTGTGCATAGTGTGCACAGTGTGTGGCTATAGGATCACCAGCTACTCTGAAGATGTGTTCCCACGCTTGCGGCACAGCCCTGGGGTTCGGGAGATGCGAATTCAAACTCCCTCCCTGTTGCAGGATTCCTGCATGACCTTTAGTGAATGCCTTCACCCTCTCCAGGAAGCGCACACCTAACAGCATGCACGAGGTGAAGAAACCATGCATTAAAACTGATGAGATTCTCATGTGCTGTGGTAGCAAGGACTACTCAGCAAAATCCATCTGTTCTGAATGTATCACAGTACATGTACTGAGGTAGCGCAGCTGGCAGGAACAGGCACAGGCGCCTAACTGAAATAGCTTGCTGTCAGTTCCAGTAAGGTGTGCCTTACTGCTGGGACTCCGGCGGCATAGCTGAAATGCACCGGCTGAGGGCAGTGCAAATCAAATAATGTGAAGAAGATGCATAAGACTCATCCTTTCCCTGAAAACGTACTGATGGAGTAAATGGGACCAAATAAAACACAGTTTATGCCTTGCTCCCAATTGTGGTGTACTCATCAAATTCCTATGGGCAAGACACAGATTCTTTACTGTTAATTAATGAATGCCTCCCCCCTTACCTCCAAAACATTTTGATTTGGCTGCACCAGAAATGAAAAGATTAAGGAATATCAAGCTTATCTTTCTCTTCTGTAACTCCTCCTATGGGTTTGGCTGTCATAAAGTATACACTGCATCCTAAGATGACTCTGGAAAAGAAGGTTTAACTTACACTGCAGTCACCTATCCACACCTATATGATTGACAAATCTCTCTAAAGATTTTATCCCGCAAACCTTTCAGCTTTCTTCAGCAGTGGCAATTTTATTTTGGCAGCACAAACGTCTAACCACTGTGCAGCATTCCCAAACTCTCCAGAGAATGGCAATTCAGTCTCAGTTCCTCCTCTCAATTTAGGGTCTAATCCAAAGCCAACTGAGTCAATAAAGAAACTCCTCTTTCTTCCGGAAGGCCTTGAATCATGCCCAGTGGGCCCCTTCTGAACATGGAGAGCACATATAATCTAAATAATGAGTGTGCCTTTCACAACCAAATGATGACTACCCAGGCTGCGTTTCCTTCCAGATGCAGATGTTGAAATGTCAGGCTTTTATTCATGAACACATTTCTTCTTGAACGTTTCATTGAAGAAAATAACATGATTGCTCAACAGGCTCAAGGGGTGGCTCAAGGGAACCTCAACACATTGCAAAGAGCCAGCTGAGCTCTCACAGGATTTGCAGTGACAATCTTTGGATGGGAAGGTCTCAATTGATTTAACCAGACTGGCAAAATAACACTTTGCACAATCCACAAAATGGGGGACATGGGCAGATTTCAGCCAGCTTGCACTGCTGAGATACCAGGTAGATGATAGCTTGCTCTTGCTACAAGTGTCCAGGGATGAAAGTATGCAACACATCATTAATTTATTTAAAAATATTTAACAGGAAAAGTCCCAAGGAGATCAGATCTCATTTTCAAGTTCTGCACCAGGCAGCAAAACCAGAACAAATAATACACAGGATTGCAAACACAGAATAAAAATTAGTAAGTGTTTTAGAAAGTATGACTACATCTGCATTGCCTTTCACCCAGCAGCATGCCCCTATGCCCAAACCCAACCTTCTCTTCCCATTACACTGCTGGGACACAAAGTCAGAGCAAGCCTTCGGCAGACTGAGGAGATGTCTGTACTGTGGACATGCTCACCCTCCTGCAGTGGTGGTCGGATCAGCCCCATGCCATCATTCCCGTCCCTTCCCAGGAGAGCACAGACACTGTGTATCATAAATGCACATGGGCTGCCACATGCAGCTGCGCTGCAGGTTAAGTCCAGTACGTACGTGTGAGCTTGTCTAAGGGACAACTAGCTGTAATGGCATGATTATTATTTGCATTTAGATGGAACTACAAACCCAGGTCAGGACAGGACCTCTCCATGCTATGTGGCACACAAGTACAGTGAAAATAGAAAGTCCTGCTCCAAGGGCTTGCCCTCCAAGTACGAGACAAGAGCCTGCCCACAGACAGATGCAGACAGAAGAATATCAAGGAATAAAAAGATGTTGCTCCCTACCACGATAGGTAAGTTATAACGTGGGTACTGTCAACCACTCATAGGCAGAAAGGCACAGGAAACTTCTCAGTGGAGTAATGGGAGAGTTTCAAGGATGTTTTCAAGGAGGTGCCCTAGTGAGTGGGGCAGTGTGGGGAAGGCATAAAAGTGCTCATTGGGCCACGTAACAAGTTGACAAAGGGGGCTGAATCCCAAGTGATAGGTAGAGGGGTTCAACACAGTAATACTGAATGGAAGATGATGATTAGGAGAGGAGAGCTGGGAATGACAAGCCAAATCCCTATTACCAAGGGCTGAGGAAGCGGAGTGCTATATATTACCCATTCTCACCACGCATCAGCAGCGTGACAGATACTGAGAGCCTAATAAAATGAAAGGCATTGCTTGAAATTCAGAGGAATTTGGTAATCTGCCTTCTCAGATGCCTTTAAAATAACAGCCAGAATGGATTATAAATATGGTACTTGCTGGTGCAGCTTGTTAGCTCTATAACGTTCAGGCAGCCACCAGCATCTTGCATAGGGGAAAAATCACCTTTATGTTTTTTTCCACAGGACATAAGCACTTGCTGATTCTTAAAAAGGAAAAAAATGAACTTTATTCGGTTTACTAAAACATTTTACTTTGTAACAGTGGGCCATGGCCTCAGCAGGCATGCAGCAGCAATGCATCAATGCATTTACATACACTGAACCTGAAACTTTTTTATCCGGCTTTCTATTTAGTCATCATGAAATGATGGAGCCAGTTCTACCCTTTCTCTCTCTCTTCCTGTGATTCTTTCCTTGCAGCACTCACTACTCTGACAAAAATGTCATCCTATCAGTGAGAAAGTAACAATTTGTTCAAAAATGGAAATAGCATTCAATTAGCAAGTTTTGGCAACTTTCAGTCTAGGCCTACTTTTGGTAAAATGTATGTACCTGTAGAATTGCCACCGTTCTTCTTGTGGTGTAATCTAACTTTTTAAAAAATCTGGCTTATTTACTTCTGTTCATTGTGCTAGAACAGCCAGGTCTTAAGATGCCTGTTACCAAAATGACAATCTATCTCACAAGTGTTATCTCAGAACTTCTTTTTCTGCTTTGCCAGCTTTGCTACACCTTCAGGGAAAACTTTTTTTCACTCACAGATATTACACCCTGCTGAAGGTACTTTTTACAAAAGTTTCATGAACATCTTGCAAGTCATTCCACAAAGTTGTTTTGGATTTGTTTTAATTATTGCTACTATGTCACCACCACATAGCTTTTATATGGTATGTTTTATAAATGTATCAAAACAGTGGTTTATTTGGGTTTAAATCTGACCTCAAACAGCATAAGGCACAGCAAAACCTGCTATCAACTGCAGTGTGAATCTCCGTATTTTTTGCACGGCTGTGAAAAAACTCATTTAAAATCTGAAGAAGGCTAAATCAGCACAACTTTCTCCTGGAGATCGTCGGTAATTCTGACAGGAGCTATACAATACAACAGAGTTATTTGAATAATATGCCCAACTTGCTAAATGTAAAGATTATATTCGGGTTAGAGTATTGAAACACTTCATGTTAAGAAATGTTAAGAATAAGGCTTCCTTTAGCAAGTTTTTAATTGCATTACTCTTCTCATGCTCCAGATATAAATTGGTACTGCGTATAGAGGAGTGCTTGCAGCGTTCCAGCATTTCATGCTGCCGTTATTGAGATGCACATAATGGAACAAGGCAGTGAAAAGAAGGGTGTCATGGTGACTGTTGAGCACTGTCCCATGGAACCATGGTCTCCACTGGGTCTTGCCACAGCGGTCTCATAAAATGATGATTTTTTAAAATTTTTTTTTTAAATGTTCACAGACAGAAATCTGGCATCTGATTTACAGAAATGCTACGTACTCATAGCTGAAATCTCTGGAGCTGTGCAATACTACAAGATGAGGGTGGTACATCTAGGATAAAGTACTGAATGACAGAGAGAAAAATAGTATTGACTAACTGCATTCTCCAAAAGAGGCATAGGTCCTAAGGGGGAAACAATGGCTGACAGAAGGATTACAAGTAATATATTTTAGCAGTCACAGATGAATCAAGTGACCACATCAATTCTGCAATCTCAGTTCTAGCATTTTCCAATTTGTAAGTGTTTATCTTTACAATCTGCAGTTAACAGAGGTTGTTATATAGGTAATACAGACATAATATTCACAGTGAATTTGTAAAATTACACACCCTATTATGGGACGGCCCGCCCTGACTTGCATCATCGTCAACATCTAGATTCACAGCCCAGGTCTTTTCCTATAAAAGCTCATAGAGAGGCTCCTGAAAGACAAAGCTGTTACCTTCTATGCAGATCAGGCACTTGGAAAGCAAAAGACATATACTTTGCCACTCAATGTGTGCTGGTAACAAAAATGCAGAGTTAGGAAGCCAGGGTTGACTTCAAGTGTTGGAAAGGAGTCAGTTGGCATACACACGCTTATTTTTCTGTTGCTTGGGATTTGTTTAAAGCAAATCAAGAAAAGAGTATTAAACCATTCCTGACATGAGGATGAATCTTCCTTTGAAATCCTAGCCCTACTCCAAAGCATGCCCTTTTCAAAGTTTCTTAACACAATAGTTGAAAACTCTTTCTTTGCTTCTAATAGGATAAACAATATTATCCACAAATGCAGCGGGATTTTTTTTTTAAATTCAGCTTGAGGCAAACTGCCAGCTCAGTTAATCAAGGTTTAGAAAAAATTACAAACAATGGAAAAAAGTTTTTTAATGGCAAATGGTAATGAACTTATATTCCAGTAGATCTTTCAATTTGCTCTAGAAGTATTTTACTATTGGGGCACAAATGTCTGTGCTTTTAGCAATCCAAAATCTCAGTCTTAAAAAGAAGAAGAAATTCTAGTGCAGGGAACAGACACTGGGCTGGGAATCAGGATACTCAGATTTTGTTGTTTGTCCTCCTAATCTGCTCCTACGGTTTAAAGCAAATCCTTACTTTATATATTTATCTGCACTTCTGTTGTCTTTTCTAGTTAGGTTTTAAGCTCTTCAGGACAAAGACCATCTCTTACTAGTTTGTGCATATCAACACTCAGAATGGTCCCCTGCAGATCCCACAGGCATTACCAGAATACATGCACTAAATTATAGTAACATTTCTATTTAATTTCTGATTTTTAAAATTCTGCTAATAATGAACAAGTTAAATGTAATACAATGTAATTTTCCATCGGCTACATTCCCTACAATTCCTGATGGTAACAAATAGTTGTTTGCAGTATTATTTTTGCCTGTTTCTATCTTTGGAACAGAACAACATCTTACAGCACTTTGCATAGAGATCCGTGACCTGTTCCCAACTAATGCAGGACAACAGTGGGGTGAGCCTTGCCTGCCTGAGGAACAGGTCTCTCATTCACAGTTACCCTAAACCTTACGACACTGCAGAACCACTGCAGTTCTCCTGTGCAATGGGTTAAGTCTGAAAGGGCACCAAATGGTAGGCATATCTCAGAGGCAACAGAAAAAAAGAAAACATTTGTATTTGCTATTGGGCTTGGGCACACAGAAAAGGCACCTAAGGGTAGAGGAGCAGTGCAGATAAACGTTACTACGCACTACTGAGCTTTAGGTCACTCAGTAAGTGATTCCTCAGCCGTGAGCCTTCTCCTGGATCGATGACACTTGGCATTGTTTCCTACTAAGTAAGACCCACACTGGTGTACCTTTACCTTGCTAAAGCAATGTAAATGGATTGAATTATAGCTGTAATTAGGCATTTGTATTTTAGGGAGAAATATTATTTGTAGATTCGATTCATACCTGCTCCAGGAGAGGAAGGTTCAAACATACTAGATGTATCACTGCACGTGTTGGAAGCTTGCTCCGAGAGCTTCTTTTTTGCACTTCCATCTGCAGACTTATGTGACTTCTTTTTATTCTTCACCAGAATTTTGTACATTAAATCCATAGGGCTTGGGAGAGGAACCCCAGGTTCAAGCTTGCAGAAAAAGGAAGAGAAAGTTGTTACAACAACAAAAGAAACGAGTTTATGGCAATTTCTTAGGGCCCACATGGTGCAAGATGATTTTGTAACCTCTATAAGGCCTGTTAAAATGAAATATATTTGGCACAAGAGGTAACCTCAACATTAAATGAAACAGTGCTACTGAGGGCACTTAAGAATAAAAGAAAAATGCCTTAGGAAATGTCTACAGTAATAACTGAAATAAGGATTAGTTCAAATATGAAAGCCTACATTATGAAATGGCAGCTATGAGAATCAATTGCATTTAGAAGATTACAATTCACTGTATCAGAATGATCTCTGCATCAGAAATTATATGCTGAGGTCACTAACAGCTCAGGTTGTTTAACCCTCTCCTTTAGACTCTGCTTTGAAAGGCCGTATATGAAGAATAACACAGGACTGAAACACTTAAATAAAAATCCACAGAGGTATTTGTGATCTGATAAATACCAAACCATATTACCGGGTATTTTTCCAATGGATCCATAAGCAGTGCATCTCCAAATATTAATCTGCAGTACTCTGCCATTTTTGCCTGTTGTTTAGGGCTAAAGGGGAGAAAAGAAAGAAAGAAATGAGTCCTACCAACTCTACAGATTGAAAGCAGCAGTAATGGAATATCTAATATCCCTAAACTAGATAGAATTTCCTGATCAAATTGCTGTGAATTTTTCAGAGACCTAGATATATCATGCAATTATTCTGATTCCTCTGATAGAACTTATCAAAAGGACTGTACAAGAAGTAAAGGCACTAGTCAACTGAATAACAGTGAAACAACTTTTAACATTGAGCTATGTTTTCCCATGCACTTAGTACAAAATAAAAAAAAAAGACTCTGTCAGCTGTTACCTTTAAGGAAATACCTGTTCCATGAATTTTCCTCTCTCAGGCAAAATTTTTATTCAAAGTTTAAATATTTTCTTCCTTATGTTACTTTATACACATGCCTGGCATTCTTCTCACACACACATCTCCCAACCCCATTTGGATTTCTTACTTTTTTTGTCCTACCTGACCTAAGGCATAAAACCCAAAACAGTTACCCAGAAAGCAGTCTCTTCTGCAGATGTCTCTGTTAAAATTCCCAAGCCAAGGGTACCTACCACCTCACTTGGCAAGTCTATAGGGCACAGCCTTACAGAAGAAGGGGCAGAAGGTATTACTTGGGTCTCAAAACCAGCAGAGCTGCATCAGTTATAGGCACTGGTAGAGAAGCAGCTAGTTTTACTGCACATTTCTAAAATGCAGTTAGTTTTACTGCAGATTTTATGCTAAAATGCAGCCCACTTTCCCACCCTATTTGTGTTAGTCCCTGGGAGGTGGGCTGAGATGCTGTGCCTGTGCAGCGTGACAGCCCATGCAGCCACAGCCCTGCCTGGAGCTGTGGCTGCGTCTCTGCACTGTGCTCCACAACAAAGCACTGACCCATCCGCAGACCTCCTGGATTGGGTTTGCACTAGAAACTTGCACTGCTCTCACCAGCTCACTCAGAAGTATTTCCCCTGACATATCCTCACCGGCAGCAGTCATAGCATAGATGTAATTGTGCTACTGCTAAGAGGTATTATGCCAGTTTGGAGAAGTGCTGTAATAAGTGCTGGTGTAACTGCATTTCATATGCATATAATTACATACTGCATGCATGTTATGTGTATATAACTGGGACCAACATTTCTGCACAGCCTTCTTAGTGGGTATCTAGATGTAATAACAAGCTGCTAGGTGGAGCTGCTCAATTATCGTTTTAGCTTGTTTGGGCATGTAGTCAGATTCCTTTAAATTTTTTTTTTTTAATTTTATTTAAAACTAGATAGAATGTCAAATTTTACCACAGCAAATTACTTCAGCAGTTTTCATGACATCCTCTAGAAATAAATTGAACCTCAGTAAACTCTACTTATAATCAATTTTCCCAAAGTGCAACCAAAGAATGAAATAATTCCTACATATCAGTGATGGGAGTTTTAGGACTGAAGATATATTGCTCAGAAATATTACTTAAATCATCTGAAAATGCAGCTCAGTGCTACAGTCACTCTCTAATTTTAGACAACTGTGTATTTTCGCTATATGTGCCTGTTTAAAATCTGTAACATCTGAGATTAGGTATCATTAAAAGTTTCCATTTTTGATACTCTGTTGAGAAGTCTCGATTAAAGGACAGGTTTATATTGCTTAGTATAACTTCCTCAACTACTGTTAATTATAATCTGTATATGATGGAAGATACACGAATGGTATAAGTGGTTATGTTGCCATGGAGCCATTTTTCATTACAAAATAGAGCTGGGTATATAGAAAAAAAGGAGTGCTCATTTTTTCTCTTGCAAACCAAGAGTACAACCACCGCTGTGTCTAGATTGCCATTAGCTACCAACCGAGCACCTGGCACTGCAGCTCTTTGGGGGTCAGCAAGGCCAAACCAGAGCTGAGAGCATTTTAATCAGAAAATGTGATTTCCCCGAGATCAGCATTCTGGATGTCCCTTGAAACAGATACGGGGTGAACCAGTCAATAGCTCAGTCACTGACAAAACATATTGCAAGGAGGCTTTAAATTATTCCACAAAGCTACGCAAATGCCGCATGCAGTTTAAATCCCTATAGCATTTCATTAATGCTTTCTTTTGCATGCAGCCAATTCTGCAAAAAAGCTAAAAGCCACTTTTAGCTGAGGATGGAAAATTAAGATGAAGACAAGCAAGGCAGTGGAACTAAGAACCCACAAGAGAGAAGGTGATGGGAACAGATCAGGATATGACAGTGTGTTAGCAATTTTGAACTGCCAGCTACCAAGGAAAATAAAGGCACCTCACTCTAGCAAGCAGACAGACTGGGTATTTTCTATGGGTCTAGGGGTCATCAAGTGAATTTTATTTCAGTCTTCTCCACCAATGTATATTTTGAATAGACCCATGCTCTTAGAACCCAGAAAGTTCAAAGGACATCTTCCTTGAATCAAAAGAGCACGATTATTGAAATTGTAGTAATTAGATGTGACATCAGCATTTTTAAATGGGTACATCAACTCCAAAAACTTTCTTGATAGGAAACAGAAAAAAACATGCAAGAGTTAAATCTAATACATTTCAAACTATCAGCAGAGCTAGAACAAATTCTTCTGATTTTCTGTGATTAATTACATGTTTACCTCCAAGAGAGCACAGTGAGAGCTTTCATTTTTGCAAAAGAAAAAAATGTAATGCAACATTATTTTGGTTTAGCACATAAATTCCAATGTCACTGCATCCCAGAGGCAGAAAGAGGGAAAAGGAAAATTATGTGAAAAACTAACAGATTTTAATACTATAAAAAAATCTTGCAGTAGTAGACAAGGCCAAAGTAGGAAAACCTTGACATTACACAATACCTGTCTTTGTGAATTGGACTACATGCAGAGATATTTTTAAAAGCTCCTCAGAGGGAATAAAAAACATGTAGGAGCACCAGCATTTAACTGAGTGGTGTTTTTTGTGATACCTCTCTCTCTAATATATATATGTATATATATTTTGTTTCACGAGATAGATCATTAGTAATAGTATAGATTATGTATTACTATTATAGCATTTTAAAAGTTAGAATACCAGTTTCTTTTTATTTTCCCTTCTTTCAAACTTATGAACCAGAGGAACAGATTGAAATACCAACTATTCTACATCACCATGTTTCCTCATTTATGTTATGAAACAAAAACGCAGGTATTTCCTGGTCCACAGCTACTATTATTGGAAATTCTCTCAGCATTCATGTATTGTAATGAAAATGGATTGCCTCAAAAGACCTGACTTTATCTGCTTTATGATCTCCACTGTGCAGACATGGATGGGTAGCACATAGACTAATTATATATGCCCCCAAAATATGCCAGGGAAGGGAAGATAAAGTGGGAACATGATACCTGGAGATATGGAAATATAAAGAATATTAAGAAATGTTTTCATTACCATTACTGTATTGCTTGTACTTTGTTCTACTGTGTTTGTATTACGCCTATTATGAAGGTCAATCACAGAGGCTCTTTGGCACTACCGCACAACTACTGCTCCTAACGTTATATTATTATCACTTCTAGAGAGATCCTTCTTCTGCATAAGACAAAGACACATATGCTTCCCAGAAGAATCTAAAATAATTTGAAGTGTAGGAATAAAGTGATAAAAAACCTGTTAATATTTGAAATAACAATTCCAGCAAGAAACCAGCAATATGAATAACTGTAATTAAATTTAATCTTGGAAGCAATCTTATATGGATACTGCTCAAGGATCACTTAACCTTTTTGCTATGTCATCAGTGCATTTCTAATTATAGAGTGTCTGCTTTCAGATTTGCAGATTGCTTATCTTCTTGCAAGCCCAATTTCAAACGTCAAGGTCTCCTTGAGGTCTTTTCAACATTTTCAGAGCACTTTTTTATTTTTTGATAGAACCACATCTTTTCTTAGTACTGTCATTCTTCAGTGTGCATGTTTTGTCTTCAATATAAATGATAGCATATATAATATTCTGTATGATATAATGTATTCCATATATTCTAAAAGTTATATGCTTGCCTCTTTTTCTAAACTTTTTATTGTATAAAAATAGGCAAGAATGAACATACTACAGAGTGGAGTTATAGTAAAGGAAATGAAAAAAAGAAACAGATGGAAGAAAAAATTGCATTTTAAGTCGAGTAGTAATTACCTCTGTCACATCTATGGTGGTGATGTAAAACTTCATTTACCTCTGATAATCACAGTCTGCTTAAAAGCCAGGAATACAGAACACAGGCTAAAAACCATATTTCTGTTTAAGCCAATGCCAAAATTTCCACTGATTTCTACAGGAACAGCATTTCATACATGAATAGTGACTCTTGTAACTTGAAAATCAGAAGAAAAATTTGGTAACCCAAAAGTAGGAATTAATGTCATATGATTTCTTTTACAGCAATTCTATAAAAACACTTCGCATTTTTTGTTAATACTCAGAGCAAAGCCCGTCTAGGAGAAAAACAACATTCCAAGTAAACAAAAAGACAAAAGGAGAATTCCATGAAATTAGGTGAAGCTTTCTGTGAGTGGCATGACTAATTGCAGATTTCTCTAGCAACTAGTGCAGAAATGAAGAGGTAGCTGTAGCAGTCAAAGCAAAATTAGAAATCACACACATTGCCTGATGATTTACTGCAGCAAAAAATAATAAATAACAATAAAGCCTCAGAAAGAGAAAATACTTGATATTGTTTTTGCAGACATGTTTTGCTAAAAACTTATGTCATAGCAAGGCATGGAAAAGGATATCAAATAATACACTTAGGGATAATTCATTAGTCCATGACTGGAGTTTTCTGGTGAGAAAGGCCCAATGGTTTTTGTGGGGCAAAGTGTAAAGATTGGAGTAATGCAGCAGTAACTCTGTTCCCTTTTAGACTTTTTCCTTCAGTATCACACCACCTTCAATTTTGACAATGTTTAATCTTATGTTTTAAAGCCACTTTTGTACATAACTTACATCTGACAGGCATTTACATTATACAATTATTTACTTCTTTACTTTCCTAAAATAGAAGAGATCTCCCTGGAATAGTTGAAGACTTCAGTCTTAATGATTTTAAAGGAAGAAAAATGTATCCCTTCTGGTTAAAATAAATTAGATGTTGCTTGTATCAGTAATAGCATGGCTAGCAGGACTAGGGAATTGATTTATCCCCTGTACTTGGCTCTGGTGAGGCTGCACCCTGTGTTCAGTTTTGGGCCTCTCCCTACAAGAAAGACATTGAGGTGCTGGAGCATGTCCAGAGATGAGCAGCAAAGCTGGTGAAGGGTCCAGAGCACATGTCTTACGAGGAGCGGCTGAGGGAACTGGGGTTGTTTAGCCTGGAGAAAAGAAGGCTCAGGGGAGATCTTATCGCTCTCTACAACTACCTGAAAGGAGGTTGTAGCAAGGTGAATGTTGGTCTCTTCTCCTAAGTGACAAGCGATAGGACAAGAGGAAACGGCCTCAAGTTGCACCAGGGGAGGTTCAGATTGGATACTGGGAAAAAAAATTTTCACCAAAAGGGTTGTCAAGCACTGGAACAGGCTGCCCAGGGAAGTGTTTGACTCACCTGGAGGTATTTAAAAGACATGTAGACATAGTGCTTAGGGACAGGGTTTAGTGGTGGACTTGGCAGTGCTAGGTTAACAGCTGGACTCGATGGTCTTAAAGGTCCTTTCCAACCTAAATGATTTTATGATTCTATGATTATTCTCTACCTTATAGTAACAGTGAATGCATATTTTAAAAAATACTGAAGGATGAATACAAAATATAATACGCTGAAGAACGATGGTTGAGATCTTTTCTAAAGACCAGAGGTTGCTTTTGGAATCTCTGAGAAAAGCACTGTGAGCTAAAATCTACGGCAGTAGGTGAGCATAAGCAAGTCCAAAGTGATATAACTTACATCAAAAAGAAAGGAGCAAGGGAACTGAATAGAGAAAGAAATTAAATACCGTATTTGTGTGGTCTTTCAGAGGAAGATAAAACTAGCTAAGCAGGATTTAACAGGTAGCTGTTTGAATCATAACCGTATGGCCTTTTAATGTGCACAGAGAAAGCACATATCCGCGTACAAAAGGTAAACTCATACGGTAAGGTGCAGAGGTAATGTAGGTCAGCTCTCAGATTTTAATTTTTTCTACCTACATAAGTTTCAAACAGTATTGTTTTTAAGAACAGTTGTGACATTCTCACATAGCTGCTTCTACAAGTTTCTTTCCTTATGACAAAGATGTTCTTCCTAAAACAATGGAAAAGCAGTTAACCCCCACTCTTTTGCTCTTCAAGAAGAAAAAGTGCCAACATCTTTTCCAATTTGTATTAAATCATTCATAGGTGCCCCAAAGATTACTTTTTATTTCAAATGAAAAAAAAAGGTTTTGCAGGCCAAACCGGTCCCAGAAGTGTTGAAAATGTTTTCACAGCAGAAAACAAAAGGGGAAAAAGCAATTGCAGTTAAGGCACGTGTTTTGTGTCAATGTCACCCCACTTTGAACCATGTGGTCTCTATATTCAAACCCAAAGTTAATGTCAAACTTAAAAAAAGAAAAATTAGAACTAAACCAATAATGATAATAAAAAATAGATCACTGGGACAAATTTAGAAGTCTTCTCACTTTTTTTTTTTTTTCCTTACACAGGAAAACTGTCCTTTTTTTGTAATTAAAAAAAAAAAGAAAAAGAAAAAGAAAACAGTTTAGGCAAACTGGTATTTTTTGGCAGAAACTGAACAGTTCCTGGCCATCCATATCACCTATTTTGCAATCCTAGCTAGTCTATGGTTCTGGCCTCTACTTCTAACATACGAGAAACAGACCAAATTCTGTGCACAGAATATGCTTCTAGCACAGAATAGGGTCATAAGGAGGTGAAATATTGCTTCTTTTTCTTTGATGAAGTACTGCTACATTCCAGCAGGACATACTGAGACTGTAAAGTTAACATAATTTGTCTCACAATTATTCAAACCTTCTCTTTCATACAGAAGTTTCTAATTCAGGAAGGTTTTTAAAAATGTGCCTGATTCATTCTGATCATTTTGGTTACTTAGACTGATAAAAGGTTTTTTGGGGGGGAAACAGTTATTGATCATATCATATAATAAAACTGCCACAAGTGCATACATAATTCTGTGCTTACACCTTACCAAAAAATATACCACCACACAGGAAAACATGGTAATTACTTACGAATCCACGTGATTTTCAAAGGAAAGGAGGATTGGAAAGGGCGATGTCTTAAATGCACATTCAGCAATAGCTTCTATTACTTCCTAAAGAATCAAAATACATAGAGTTACAAATTCATGTCTAGAGAAACAGTGTTTTGGTCTCTAAAGACAGATTTCAGACAGAGGTCTGAAATCATATCCAAACTGCCTGAAATGAGACCTTCTGTTCTAAACATTCCACACAGCTCTGGATGTGCTTTTCCAGCAACGAAATTTTTCAACCTGAACTGTAATCAAGTCTCAAAACGTCTGATGAGCCTCAAGCATTGCGTTTCTCAAGAAATGACTTATGTCTGCCTAAATCAATAGTTTAAATGTAAAACTTGGTCTTTGCATGGAGTTGTTCCATGCCTGAAGCTATGGCTTTCATGAACTATTTTACATAATAATAAACATGCTCTGACAAATGCATATCTTCTAAACATCATCAGCACAAGCACGTATCCCTAAAATCCTTAGTTACTCTGACTCAAAAGTTTTAGTTCCCTCTTTTTTTCATGAGAGGAATCCCTTTAAGGGAGGGGAAAAAAAAAAAGGAAAAAAAGAAAAACACATTATTCAGTTAAAACTGTTGGCTGTCTAGTAATCATCAGAGGGCTCAGAAAATGAAACTTCTGTAGAAGTTTCCTTTCAGCTCTGATGGAAACTGGCAACAGTAAATCTAGTGGAGGAATCATTTGGTTACACTACTTTTTGTGGGGTGCACAATATCGTGGTGCACTCGCTGTTACAAATTATTTATTCAATGTTTCCCTATTGGAACACAAATCTTTTTGCAAAGGAACTTACCAAACACTGAAGACTTTCCATACACATTGCTGTCAAACTCTGGAGTTTATAAGAACCCATAAGCCTGTTCCCTCTCAAATCGTAAGGACAACTAAAACCTAAAAAATCTATTTATTTTAAACAAGCCTCTGGAGATTTCTTTTCTTCATTTTCTGTACTTTTAAAGGCTCAATTCAAAAGCAAAACAGTACGAAATGCATTTCCTAAAATGAAAGCTGAGCTTCTGGCCTATTCTTCTGATGTTGGGTTGTAGAATCCAGAGGTGGAAGGAAAGCACAAGCCATCTGAAGATTTGCTGATATGAGCTAGGATACAGACAGAATTTACAGTCTTCATGCAAGTAGAAAAAAACCACAGCTCAGGCACAAATTGTTGTAGTGTCTCTTATAAGACGAGAAACTATCTCTCTTGGCACACACAGGTGACAAATTACTATTTTTAATAAACTGCAATCACCAAATATTTAAATGTTTCACATATCACTAACCAGTCATGTGCTTCAACCAAGATCACTTGTAGCCTTTAAAGAAAGCAGAAAGGCAAAGCATTTATTGGAAGAACAATAAATGGTGCAGAAGGCTGGATGAAGGCAGGTAGGAAGATGCTGTTTCACAGCAGCAGTTCTCCCATGGGAGAATGCACGATGGAGTGATTCCTGCAGCACACTTTTCTTTCCAGCTCCAGTAAATCGCTAAGTACTGGTACCGCCTTAATGCTGTTCAGAACCAGTGGGATTCTCAAAAGCATCTAAGGCAATTTTACCATTACAAGGGAACAGCGGTGCTGAGCAACAGGTTACAAATATTGAGCCCTTGTATCTTGATGCTCTCCATCCAGATCATTAGCATTGTCTTGGTCTCCCCAGCCTGCATCCTCCCTTGGGTTATGGAGCATGATGCAGGCCTTAAGAACATTTGAGGTTCGATGTAACAGGTACTGCCAAAAGCAGTCTTGTGGCTTTTCTTGCTCCTACACACTGCTCAAGCTATGGAGTAAATCAATAAATTTATTTTCAACTGCTTTCTCAACTGCAAAAAGGGATGAAATTCAGCATGTGTGGGGAAAATAACCCGAAAGAGTAAAATCACGATTACACTCTCATGATTACACACTCATCTGAGGATGAGAAACTCAGGCATTGGTTCAGTGGAGAAATAGGTATGCTGGTGTTTCAGCCTTGCACTGCATTTAAATGTAAATGCAAATTCTCTATGGTCAGAGAGGAACAACATGGTAAGTTCCATACTTTACTCCAGCTGCAGAATAACTCACCTGAAACAGGTCTCCACGGTATGTATAAAGTAAATGTGCACAGATTCCTGGTTATGGCATGAAAAATAGTTAGTTCCCTAGAAGATCTCACCCTGGCAGCAGCTCACAGTCTACAGCTGAGAAAAACCTTACTGATTTCTGTGTCATGAAGCAAGGTAAAAACCAACCAAACCAAAAAAGCCACGAAAAACCCCCGGCAACATAAAGATGGGGAGTATACATTGCTTCTGTCTCCACACTTCAGAAAGCCTATCTGAGGCAGTGAAAACTGACAGACTGAACAGAAGCACTGTGTGCTGTGGTCACGCCAAAAGCGTGAGCTGATAAATGATTCAGCATTCAAGACCCAGTGATCACTCTGAATTGATTCACACACTTCTGACACATTATTTCACCATCATTTTGCTCCTCCTCAGCCAAGCAGCACACTTTCAGTGTTGAAAAGACACCGGCAGTCAATACATTTTTACATTTTTCTGTGTGGGAAAAAATATTTGCCCTGAATTAAAGAAGAAATATTGCTGAGTAGGTTTAAAATGCCTTCCAATAAGTCTCCCGCAAACACAATGCCTAGGGTTGAACTTCTAAATAACCAGGGATAACCCTCATTCCTGTTAATGATCCTTTTAAGAATCAGATTAACTTTGTTTTAAATTCCTGCTCATGACCAAAGGAGTTGAGAGTTGTCTTCCTTAATTAAAGGACTTGAGCAATCAAACTTTACGCACATAAACATAATTGGCTTCATATAAACATAACTGGAAAGTTAATAACAAATGTGCAAGAAGGTTGTGGTTTACGTTTTTCTGTGATTAACTCAATCAGTGAAGAGTTAGAGAAAACAAATTGAAAAAAAGAAAAGAGTGTTCTGGTGCAAGTGAATGTTTTATCTGTGTGGCAGTATTGCTTGCTTTTTTTTTTCCTAAAGGAAAGCACTAGAAGACAAGAACCTCCAATAACTCATGATTCAAGTGTGGGAGACATGCTTCAAAGCTGTAGCTAGTACAGAAGCCACACTTAACACCTGTAACATAACCAAATTCAGCAATGAATATTTTTCCACACCTTCTTGTGCACAGAAGGTAAATCTAGAAACATATTTCCATGGCAAGTTCATGTCTCAGATGAACAAGAACTATTTCTTCACACTTCAGAAATGATATCCTCATGTATCACTATAAGCTGTGCTGAATACCAATCTTAATACTATAGGAAAACACTTCCATCTTGCTCCTCTAACACCTTGAATCAAAACCATCTTTCAAGAATAACAAGAAGATAACAATTTAAGGTTATTGCTAAGGGTATAGTATCTACCTTTTATTATAGAAAAAGGAAATGAAAGATGAAATTCAGAACTACAGATTATATGTTTAGGGTTTGAATAGCACAAATATCCCATCACACTCTCCAAAGATACTAATTTTTCTTCTTCATCCTCCAGTGCTTCAAATCTAATCCAAGTATCAGGGATAAATGTAACATTGCACACACTGTTATTAATTTTTTAAATAGTTAATATAATGTGTCTGGTCCCTGTGGATGGGACTTGCGAACTGGGCACGAGTAGCCTGTTCTCTGTTCATAGGAGTTTAAAGGCTTGCAAATTGTAAAGATTTCCACGATAGCTGCTGTTTCCTACCTCACTTCAGCATGTTCTTCTCCCATTCACATTTACCAGGCAGACAAGAGAAAAAGAGTATATTGACTCATTGCTTATTGCTGTTCAAGTCCTTGCGACCTTCATCTCAGCTCTCCTCCTTGCTGCATGCTATGGAGCTGTAACACAAAGCAGTCCTTCCTCCCTATCATCCTGGCTCCAGATCCATCCGCAGAAGTGATTCACACCATGTAAAACCAGCTGTGGTGGCAATATCTGGTATTTCAGCCCTGGCTGTGGCCTACCCTGCTTCTCTCCCTGTGAGATTTGCTGCAAGAACATCTGCAGAAGTATGGACCGGGTGGCACAGACTATCACACCATAGTGTGTGATAGTCACACCCTCTTCCTCTGACTGCCATGATGACCAAGAACCTCTTCCTGTGCAAGGTCCAACTACTGTAATTCTTCTCTTCCAATGATTCTGCACATGCTCCAAAATCACCTCTTACGACATCTTTTTGCCCTCACATTCCTCTTCACCTTTGCAGTAACAGTCTCACAATGTATTTGTGATGCATTTTACATGAAAGAAACTGCCCCAGCTAAAGCCAACTACACCAGTATGCTGTGTTGCTGTACCTTGAAGGATATTTCAGTTGTCATAGTGAATCCATGTGTAATGACCGGCTCTTCTTCAGCTGTTCGTCCTTTCCAGCAGTCCAGCTCCACACAGCGGCAGCCTGACAAAAGCACTTGCCGATACATCTCCACCGATGAGTTACCGGCCAGCTGTCCAGCTGCAACAGTGCAAGAACATGAAAAAAGGGAAGTAATTTTGGGCCTTGGGAATAAATACAAATAATCTAATAATAATTAAGAGTTAACAGCATTTTTTACCCTTGGCTGAGAGGAATAACACTTAAAGGCATACAAAAAGCATAAGAAGGTAATGGAAATTACTTAAGAGTCATGTCATGGTTTGGATTCTGCCCTCAGTTAAACTGCTGTGAGTGAGCAGAAATAACTGAACTGAAGCCAATTCAAAAACTTCTGATAGACAGCATAAAATACATAAAATAAAATAAAATAAAATAAAATAAAATAAAATAAAATAAAATCATTTCTAAAAGATCAAAGATCTTTTGACAGGCAATGTGAAATTCAGAGGTGACTCAGGACAGCAAGATCACATTTTCTCATAACTTGCAATGCAGTTTAATACAAGACAAAACGAACTTCCTGCACGGTCACTGATGGTACGCTTACTAGGTCTCAAATCAGTATTTAATACACTAATCACTGCATTGGTTAGTTAAATTTCCTGATGTGATACTGCACTATGTAGGGAGATATTTAATTAAGCTACCAGTTTCCACCAATGACATAACATAAATCTAAAAATAAACAAGGAAAACAGCTTTTCCCAAATGCAGGAAGTATCAAAAAAAACCCACAAGCACAAAGAAGTCCAGCTGTATTCAGGGAAGGATAACTAGCCAGGCTGTCTTCACCTGCTGCAACACGTTTGATTCCAGTCATCCGGATAGAAATTTCTTGCAGCAGAGAGGTAAAGGTAATGGAAGAATGGCTTAGTTCTTGGTTTAGATGTGAAGAAAATGGATGCAGTTTCCTGCTTTCTAGCAGACTTCCTGAGAAGACCTGCCTAGATTTCTTGAAGGGAATTCACTTGTTTTTTTAAGAAGGCAGTGAGTTCATTTGCACTAAAGATTCTTTGATGATGGGGGACATAGAAATACTTCATCCAGGCTGGCATATAATATAATGTAGATTACTCTCATCCTTATTTGTCTCTGTGGTTCTGTGTTCAGTTTTTACACTGGGAACTACATGTTTTGGGGTTTGCTTTACTAAACAGCATTGTCTGCTTTCTCTGTGTTTTTACCTTCCACTAAAAACTGTAATAGAAACCCCCTCCAATTTTAAAATTCCTGTTTACTGTTTGTATCTGATACACGAGCTGGAGCAATCATAAATACTCCACAAGGTATTAACATTACTCCTGTTGAAATCCGTAAGATTTATCCTGCGGCAACCAGTGAGAAATATGTGTTAATAACAGAAGAACTTGGCCAGTGCTGGAAGGATCTGAAAATCCAAATGGAGTCATGAACTTGACAATATGTCTCTTTTTTTTTTTTTTTAAACTTAACTTTTTCCTGTGTTTCCCCTTTGATTATGGCAGGTTATCCTTACTCACACAAAAGTGTTTTTGGTGCAATCCCAATACCTGGGGTAAGCAGTGGCTCTTTTTCTTTGCAGGATGCAAACAAGCATGAGCATGGATCAGGGTACAACAGCACACATTTCTGCATACTCACCCCTAAGCATCTGCTTATGAAAACTTGGCTGTCATTATACGGATCTGTTGTACTCTGCTGCCTAAAAAACTACATTCACTTAGAAACCTTTTTCATGTTGTCTTTCTTCTCCCTCAAAGTATATTGAATTCGGATTGACAAACTATTTTATGATTAGCAAACTCTACTATACTTCCTGAGAGACTCCTGGCCGTTATTATTGCTAAGCGTTTTGGACTACAAGATCCTTAACCTTCAAAAGTGCTTAAGTAAATCATGACATGCATCGCTTGCCATATGACACTACTCCACACTACCTTATTAACAAGGCTTAGATATTTTGGAAGGATTCCTGCTAAGGATAAGAGGATATTCAACCTCCAAAACATTAAATCTTTAGAAAGACTCCCAGTCAGAGTGCAAAATCCTAGCAAGTGTTTTAATAGTCTCAACAGCTTATTCTGCTGACATATCGAATATTGGGAATGCTCCCTCTGAATATTGGGAATGCTCCCTCAAATGTTTTTTGCACATATTATTTCTAAACTTCTGTGGTGTGAGTCTCTATTTGCATCTATCCCAAACTATCCCTTTAACAGACGCATTCTAAAATGTGCTAACACACACACAAAGGGGAATACTTCCAGTATATTTTTAATATCCTGACTACAGATGAATTTTTTTATACTGGAAACTGAAAGCATTGTGTATTCCCTTCTACAATACATACAGCATCTACAGTAATTTGTATCCCATCACTGTAGAGTGGATAAGAAGAAACAGATTGTGACAAAACCTCACTTTTCTAAAAAATATAATTGGCCAAATCATGCCTGACAGGACACTATGCAAAATGAGCCTGGGCTAATTGATATAAGCTGGGCATATGACCCATGTTTCCGCATACAGATGGGTTCTGCACTTCTTAACTTTATGCTGCTCATTTCTCAGCAAGTGCATCCTTGATGGGTTCATTCATCACTATTTTTCTGACGGCAAGTTATTTGCAACACATGGACTTGAAATTTGTTTACAATTTTATGACGTGTATCCTCCCTAAAACCGGAGGTATTTGGATCCAGGTACTTGGAGTCACCTGACTCTTCACTACTCTAGAAACAGAAGCTGCTTCTGTCCCCTCACCCACCCATGGCATCACCTTCTCCCGGCATGAAGTAGTGCCTGTATACTCCCTTTGCCCTGCACAGACATGGGGTGCTGAACAACTTCTCTTCAGGCAAGTCCTGGAAAAGCAATCATACGGATCATACGCTGCAGTTCGCAGCGTGCAAACTCAAGAGTCCCACACTGCTAGGGGTCAGGCTCTTGACTCTGGCAGCAACAGAAGGTGCTGGTGGCTAAGTTTGTTTTAGACACAGTACATTTATCTGAATTTATTTTCCTTCTGAGCTATTTTGCCACGCACAGGACAAATGAATTAGACTCCACACTATGACATATTTTGTTACTGCTTGTATGTAAGTATAATAAGGCTCTCATCCTATGGCTGTAATTTTTAACACTTTACATTGGACCAAAGCAGGACATGCGGTCAAGCTT